TATATATATATATATATATATATATATATATTGTTTATATGCAAACATACAGATACAGAGTTTAAATAAAATATATAAAAGGCACATAATAAAAAAAACATATACAAATAGTCTGGTTACTTTGCTGTAACAATGTAAATGTCCCCTCTATGGGACTAATAAAGGTCTTCTGATAACAAGGTGACCAAAGTGCAGGACTTTCACTGCAGCGGGTCTGTTTCCTGCTGAGTCATGTTACCGTGATGATGCTCTCTCCATGCCGGTCCTCAGGTCGTCCAGGGTGCAGCCGCTCAACACCGCCATCACCTCCAGGCCGTCGCTGCTCCGGATCCTCCCCGAGACCCGCAGCTGGTGCAGGGCCAGCTCGCCCAGCCGGAGCTCCTGCTGGTGCTGCAGGGCCAGAGGCTGCAGAGCAGAACCACGATTAGAATCAAGACCCAGAAACAGAGAGAGGATCCTGTACCAGAATCAGTCTCAGGTCCAACAACCAGACAAAGGAACCAGAATCACACTCAGGTCCAACAACCAGACAAAGGAACGAGAACCAGAATCAGTCTCAGGTCCAACAACCAGACAAAGGAACCAGAACCAGAATCAGACTCAGGTCCAACAGCCAGACAAAGGAACCAGAATCAGAGCCTCTGCTGCTGTTTGAGGACTGACCTGTTTTGGGTCGTTTCTATACAGGACCAGACCCAGAGACTCGATGTTCAGGTTGAACCTGAGGTTCTCCAGATCCTCCTGGTCTTCCCCACCATTCTCAGCCACTGGCTCAGCTGAAAACAGACCAAACAGAACCATCAGAACCTGGACTGACTGCAGAACTCAGCTTGTCACATTTAAATAATGAAGTCCTTCTGACCTGCGGGGGGCCCTGCTCCCAGCTGCCCGACTGCCTCCGGTCGAGGGTCGGTGTTCTCCGGACCACCGGCCTCTCCCAGGTTCTCCGTCAGGATCCTCAGTAGAACCTTCAGGTCCTCCTGACTCAGCTCCACCTACAGGTACGGTATTAGCATATCTTAGCACAAACACTGGAAGCAGGGGGAAACTGCTAGCCCAACATGTAGAGCCAGTTCTTCCCTAACTACAGACACAAATGAGATCTATCTAAAACAGTATTCACATGGGCCGAAACACACAGGCTTAAAGTTCTGAAGCTAGAACAGGTACAGGACTACAGGATCAGATTGTATGAGGACTGGTTCAGAGACAAGAGCAGGCGGGTTAGAAACGAGTGTGTTAAAGTGTGTTAGAGTGTGTGTTGTATTTTATTATCAGGACCTTCATGGGCTTTAGGTCTCCATCCACCTCCACTGCCACCATCTTTTTGTACCAGGTCGCCGACAGGTTCCTCCGGACCATCAGCTGCAGGTTCACCGGCTCCAGCAGCTCGATGTCAGGCCTCCCCCCCGCCGCCGGGTCCGAGTCTGGGTCCAAACCGGTCCTGATGAACGAGTCATGTTAGACGTGTTTATCTCTACTAGCTGAGTCATGTTAAACGTGTTTATCTCTACTAGCTGAGTCATGTTAAACGTGTTTATCTCTACTAGCTGAGTCATGTTAGACCCACCGGGACAGTTTGAGCTGCGTCAGCTGGACCTCCATCTCCTCCAGCACGGCGGGCAGCGGGCAGCCGTCGGCGGGCATTAGCGAGAAGCTGTTCCCCACCGTGATCAGACCCAGGTCCATCACCAGTGCATGCTGGGAGCTGGAGTTCTGGGGCACGATGATGAGCGGCGCCTTCAGCTTGATGTCCATGGACAGACGGAAACTCTTCTGGGCAAAATCCTTCACGCTGAGTGCCGCCTGAGCCGCCGCTTGAGCCGTGGCGGCGCTCAGAGCCGCTTTAGCTGTCTGGAAGTTGTTGGAGAAGTTCTGAAAGACAATAAAATAGTTTGTGAAGCATAACCGGTGTTAGAAAGCCAATAGGGTCTTAGACAGGATCCCTCTGCGACTATGAACAGTCAGAAAATCAACACGCATCCACACATACGATCGGGTATCGGAGAGAAAATAGTAAACAAATACTTTCATCTTTGAGTATAAGATTCATAGCCATACGTCATATTACAGGTAGCTTGTATCATGCAGATGAAAGTTCACCGGTCCTAAATTAAAAGGGCCAAACGACGCCTATATGTGACATCACTATAAGTCAGCGAGTCAACATCAACCAAAACAATAATAAACATCAACACATGGAAATCCATGCTCTGCATAATAAAATCACACTTACAAACATTCAGAACATTTCATTATAAATATAAATAAGGTAAACATGGAAGATGTCTCCAACAGTAGGGGTCTGGACTCTGTAAAGACCAGGTTCCTCTGAGACCCTCAGGACTCACCAGCAGGGACATGATGAACTTGTGCAGGTAGACCATCTGAATGCAGCCCACGCTCAGTTTCAGTCGGCCATCTGTCTTCGAGGTGTCGGCGTATCTCGGACCCTCCGTGGCGTTTGGAGTCAAGCTCAGAGAGAAGCTGAAGACCTCGTCCCCCACGATGGAGATCGCCTGAGAACAGAAAATCAGAAGATGGGGTCAAGACAAAGGGTTTTCTGTGGTCCTGGTTTGGCAGGAACAGGGACTGACCTTCTTGTGGAAGCTGTTTGGGTCCACGTTGAGGACGATGAAGTCCTTCAGCCTGGCGGAGATATGAGTCTGGGGTCCCTGCATCAGCAGAGAGCCATTCAGACCTGAAAGAGAAAGAGACAGATTCAGGGTCTGTGCAGACCTGTAGAGGATCCAGCAGATTATAATAATGAATAATCCAATGGGTCGAGACCTTGGATCTTAATGTGGGCCATGTCGCAGCTCTGGTCGCACACCAGCACATTAAAGGCTCCCAGCGTCATCGTGACCTTCAGGTCGATGATGTCACTTCCTGCCGGTGTCACCAGGGTGGCTGAGGGGGAAGCGGAAAGGTCAGTGTTAATATAAATATAGAAGGGTATCACAGGGAAGACCTTCAAGCTGGGTACCTGAACTCATCATGTCATAAGCATATGTGTATACCAAATTGTACGGTGTCCTTGGGTGTCATCAAATGCGCCCTTATGTCTCCTATTATACTATTTTTCTCTCCAGTACAGCATTAGCTCTGAATGTTAGCGATGCATGCTAATGTAAACACAGACCATATTACTTCCAGAACACGTCTCATTGTTTCTGACAGCAACGTTTCTGATTGGCCCGTGGGTGTAAAGCCCGCCCACATTTTAGTAATGTGGTCATGACGCAGCAAATCTGGATCAGCTCCGGTGTTCCCCCGTTTTTAGAGATGTGGGTACGGAGGAAAAGAGAGAGGGGTTTATTTCCTGAGACTTTGTGAGTCCCCTGACACACCGGGGACAAATGGTGATGTAGAGAAGACATCACTTTGTGAGTATCCTGACACACCGGGGACACATGGTGATGTAGAGAAGACATCAGAAAGTGCATTCTGCATGATAGGAGATCTTTAAATAAAATCTAATTATTATTATATACAGTAGATG